AAGACATAAATAAAAAAAATAAAAAGCCTTATTATCAGAGCCTAATTATTAGAATGTCGGCTAACGGTATGTTTACCAGTACATGTGGGCATCGACAGGCATACCTGTACGTACATGTACACTACACCTCCGAACTTGTTGGAATTTAATGGGAGGAATATGTTAGCTTTAGGGGTTCACTTTCAGTTGTAAACTTCCACAGTTTTTTGTTGATGGGGCACAAAGTTCAGTCATCAATTATTCAGTTTGTTAAACTGATGTACATGTACCTGTTGTAGGTGAGATTTGTCAGGATTTCTTCTGACTCATGGATATTTTCATCCGGATTTTGCTGACTTCAGGATTTTTAAACCATCCCTTTTAATTTTCTGGAAAATCTTGAGTTCACAATAAAGGTGTTTCTATGTGTACAAATTATATATAGAACAGGAGAAATGGACTGTGTGTGTTTGAAGGAGTGTCTGCAGGAAAACACAACTGTAGACTACATGTACACTGCTGTGGGGCTCTCAAAACCCGATTATTTCATGGATATTTCATTCTCATGCATTCACACGTGCATAATGTACATGTACATACATGAACATCACAAATACACAGTACAGTTACTGCACGTGTTACATATTTCATCAACCATGTGTAGCCCACAAAGTATGGTAATATTTGCCTCTTCTCAGACTGACAGCTAGACTTCAGGGTGGCATTTTATCACTTGGTTGTCATCAAATGTAATCAGATCAGAGAAGTAATGCCTGATCATTGATAGGGGGAAGACCATATATTAATTGGCCCATTAGCTGGAGTGTTTGCACAGGGCCTATAGAGATAGGGGTTCTGTTTATTCCTAGCCAGCTTCCAATATACATGTAGAGCTGGCTCCTGCCAGTTGTCCCTCTGGCCCCAGTGGCACCAGTAAAATGAACAGATGCCAGTATAGATGTAGGTCGGCTTGTGTTAGGCATTGTTAATAAATTGCCTGGCAGAATACATTAATCAGTCTCCACTGTTAATAAGGCATATTCAGTGTGTTCTTCATGCTACTAAAACTGAGCCAATTTGGTGCACTGTTCCATGCACATGATATGAAACAATGTTGTTCACAATTTGGCAGTACATGTACTGTACATGTACATTGAGTATGCACGTACACGTGTATGCACATTACATTGTACATGAATATGTATGAAGAAATGAAGGAAGTTAAAAGGCATGGGGCTTAATTCAAGTATTACATGTACATGCAAATCTGTGAATGCACTGCTGGCAAATCTTTAACAAATGAAATAAATGGCATGTTGTTTGAATAAAAATGCACATACACCTCAAATTTTTAAGTATTGAATGTATACCAGTTAGTACGGTACATGTATTGATTTTAAAGTTAATGATGAAAAAATGTCAAACCAAAATGCAATGGCATTTTGATAATGATTCAGCTAAAATCTGACCATATATTTTAACTGCCTTTTCAGCAAAGTGCCCATCCAGAATTGCACTTTACCCATTGGAGAGTTTGGCATACGGGTTGCTACATTGTATCTGATCACAAAACACCTTGTGATATCATTGCAGAGAATTAGGGACACTGTACATTTTGAAAGATACAGCAAACTGTCATGCTTCTTTAGTGATGGATTCAGAATGTTTCCAAGGGTGTGACTGAACATTGATAATGTGGAGGTGGTTGGAGGGTTACAGGGCCTTGTTAATTCCAGGATATTCAAGCATACATGTACATGGCCAAGGTGTTGAAGTCAACATGTATATACAGTATGTAGTCAGTTACCACCATATATGTTATGTACATAAATATATACACATGTTCTAGTACCACAGGGCACAGAGATCAAAGGCCATACATGTACAGTACGAAATGGATTAAGAGTTGTTACAGTTTTCTCAAGTGCCAATGTGCCAAGGAAAGGACTTTTGGGATCTTTCTCCAGTACATGCACAGTTAACGGTACACGTGTATCTGATGTTCAAATTTAGCATTGGTCATTTGGAAGGGGGTCCTGTGAACCCCACCCACCCTTCACTATATCCACCCTTCCATTTCATAGTAGATTTTGCAATATCAGGCAAAGGGAAAAGGCTCCTGTATGGAATTGATATAATGTGCACTGTACGTGAAATTTGTGATTCCGTTCGTACCGGTATTGATCTGTGTTGGTCTCAGGCATGTGACTTTTCCTCAGATAAGGTGATTTCCTTTTGTTTTCTCACTCGTGCCAACACAAATAGAAAAACGCAGCAAGTCTTGTGCAGCTAAATATTTCCTTGTCTTTGCTTATAACTTCTCAGTTACCAGTACATGTCTCATTGTACAAGTGTTGCTATGCACATTATTTGTACAGGATTGGCACAAGTTCCACTAGTTTCATATCAACAATATGACTACTAAAAATCTCATACATGAACATATATTGTACATGTGTGCTTAATGTATATTGACAAATGTAAATGTACATGTATGTGTATTGTTCCTGCTTAAAGATATTTATAGTTTTTGTCCAACCATTTTTTAAAAAATGAATTGAGAGAACCCATAATTATAATTTATGTCAGGTCCTCTTAGAAAACATTAATACAAGTGTCTTGCTGATGACTAATAATTGGATGGTCACTGACCTGGTGGTGTTATACAGTACATGTACGTGTGTACAGTGTACGTGTGTTATCGGTAACACAAAGCTAAATTTGGACAGAGTCGGTATTCAGGAAATCTGCCCTTCATCTCTTCCAGTCATTGCCTAGGCAGCTGACCATTCCTGGTATTTGCTGTTTGTCCAGCCTCAGTGGGCTTTGACCCCTGGCCATGAAGGAAACATGTCTAGGCTTTGGTCAGGAAATAAAGGATGTGGTTGAATGTACTCAGAAAGTTTGGCTTCAGCCACATTCACAATTTGTTCCGAGTACATGTAGTATACCGGTACAGTACATGTACGTCTCCCCTGTGCAACATCTCAATTACAACTACATGTATGCATTTCTGAAATTAGTAATTGAAACTTACTCTGATACTTAATTGAATTTGAACTGTCCCTCCCCCCCCAAGCTACGTGTACATGTAAATACTACAAACAGGCCCCCATGTACATGTACATGTGAATTATATACTGGCACGTACATGTACATGTATGTATACACATGCTTACATACTACACACATATATATTGTACATGTACTTGTACATGACAGGAAAAACTCACACAATTTGATATTCTTCAGTGGCCAGTTTACAATTACTGGAGTAGACAGCACCATGATATAAGGGGTGGCATCTGTGCATGTGGTGCACACTCATCAATGGATGCAACTGTTTCCTGTTTATCAGTAGTGCATAAACAGTAGGCCTATGGTACATGCACAATATGATCAGGGAGATCCACCTGTCACCATGTTTCCTTGAGAGCAGGTCTTACTTTACTCAAAACTGTTACAGCATGTACAAATGTATCTGTCACTACATGTAAGTACTGGACAAGAACATGGATACACACATGTACATGTAGCACAAATGTTTGCCTTTACGGAAGGTATCATTACACGTACAAATTCATGTATACTAAAGTGTACCAAGTAAAAACAGATTATTTAGTCATCTTTAGACAAATTATTTCTATCGTGTTATGCAGTTAAGAAAACTCGATCAAATTTATTTTCTTGAACTGTGAACACAATTTTCAGCTGGATTTTGGTTTCCTTAACTCTTCCTTTTGCTGGCTGACCCTGACCCTAAAATATATGCACATGTACTTCCAAAGCCTTTTTGTTTTAGAGAGAGGAAAAACCACTGCAGAATGTGGACCTTTTTGTTTTCAGGTCCACACAAAGATGACAAGGTTGGCACAAGCCAGCAAACTGGCCTGAGCAATTCTCAGTGGTTAGGTACACACATGTACCAGTTGTTCAAAAGTTTGCGCTCAATAGCAATGAAGGTTGTGGTTTCCCAAAAATATACAGGGTGTTTCCAAAAATAAGGTCATCCAATTTGAAGGGGTTAATATAGCTATATGGCATCTCACACAGCGTTTTGAGGGCCACAGCAATAAAACTGAAGATAAGAGCTTTCAAATGACACCTTTCTTGCCTAATCATGTTATTGCGTAAGTGAATACCAATGGATTGAAATTATGGCACCAAAACTGCACTGGTTCACTTATTGAACCTCGTCGCATTTCACTTGACCAACTACTTCACCTTGATTGTGAATAATGTCTCGCCTGGTTATGCAATGAGGTTTATTCAAAAGGCCTGGCGTGTCCATTCTGGCCATCAAACAAGCTTGGTGTCACGAAAGTGAACCAACCACATTTTTTGAACCCTCAATTCTGGGTTATGGTGCTGAATCATGCATGGCCCTAGACAAGAAACCTTTGTGTCATTTTAACGGTCATAATCTCTACTTTAATGTGATACCATGATCTTAGCTGAAAGGTTTATAGTATGTTTGTGTGAACCCCTTAAAGTTGGATTATCTTTTTTTTTTAAACACCCTGTACA